TAGTGAACAATTCAAAGATGCTGGGTTTTTGTACTAAGGAATTGCAAATATTTTTCTGTTGAATCTTCAAAACTAGTATATTGCTCCCTTATAGAGGTCCATCTTGGAATATTTATTGCCCATTCTTTCAAAATCATATTAATTCGATTGAAAAAGTTCAACATAGATTTTTCAGATACTTTGCTTTTGGGAACAACGATAGAATACTAGACCTCTAACTACTGGAAGAGATATGTTTTGGGCCATATTTATATTTAAACTGCTAAATGGGCAGATTGATTGTGCCGATCTTTTGAGTCAGGTGGGTCTTAGCATTCCTTATCAGGGTCTTCGTCATCAAGTTACCTTCATATACCCTTTCATAGAACAACATATTGTAGTATAAGTCCTATAGATAGATATTTGTGCTTTTTAAATAACTTTAATTTTGATGTCTTCAGGACAGTTCAAACATTCCTTAAAAAAGCTGGGATTTGATAAGTATGTGATGTTGTATTAGGTGTTATTTATTTTAAATTAAGTTGTTGATTTCTAGTTCTGAATCTGTACCTACATCAGTTCTTTTTTATACCTAACCTTATTATTATTACATATTATATTATTGAATTTTAAAGCTGGTGGGGATTTCCCGTAAGTAATAAATAAATAAATCTATAACCTGTGAACATAAAAGGGTAAATGGACGAAGCGGCTTGCCCGGCTCTACTTCTGACCCATCTGCAGTGTTCTCTGAAGTTGAGTTTAGTACTCATCGATTGTTCTGGAGTGCTCTTCTATTTTGGTTGTTGGAATGTGTGTTCTTTTGGATCATGTGTATATTGCTATGTCGTCTGCAAAAATGGCAATGTTGGTGTCCGGTGATGATGGAATGTCATTTAGGAATATGTTGAATCAGGTGGGTGACAAATGTGACAATATTCTGCCTTGAGGAAGGCCTTTTGTTATGGCTTTTATTTCTAATATGGTGTCTTTGATGATCCACCATGAAGAATCTGTTGTTTAGGAAGCTCTCCGTTATTTTTGTAAGAGCTGGATTGAAGTTCATTTCCATCATCTTGACTATGAGTGTCTTTCCCCAGACAATGTCATATGCTTTCTCTATGTCCAATGTGGTTAGTGTGGTCGTATTATTATTATTATTATTTGATTCCATAGTGTATTCGACCACTCTGGCTAGTTGTAGTTTGGTTGATCTACGTACCCTGGTCTGTACCTATCCTATGAGTATGTTGTTGTCTTCAAAGTGTTTGGTTTTTCTGTTAATATAGCTTTCGGGCATCAGGTTCTGTTTTTTCCCCGGTTTGTGAAAGACAATGATGTTTGCTTCTTACCTGTCTTTGGGGAAATGGTGTATAGTTTTATGCACGCATTGTTAATGTAAGTGAGTTGCACTATTGCTTTCCTAGGTAGGAATTCGCAGTCCTTTGCTACGATTTTGTCTTTCCCTGCTGCCTTAAATGGTTTCGATTCAGCTATGATTCTATGAATTTCTGTGGGGCTAGTTAGTATGTCATCTGTATTGTCTGGTTCAGTGTTGATTAAGGCTGTGGTCCGAATATAACCAGGGTTGTGGTTTCGCGGTCCAAAAGTAATCAAATTACTCTGGTTCCTGGAAAAGTGGTTACTTTTGGACCTTGGTTTCCTGAAATCTGGTTAACCAAATGTCAAAATAGTTACCGGCCATCGAATGTCGGCTCTGTTGGTTTTATCTGTAATTTCTGTCAATATTTTTTTATTTCATATTTGTGTTCCCCAAGTAACCGGAATTTTCAGTAACCATGTGTCAACCGATTCGGTTACTTTGGTTAATGGTTGGTTATATTCGGACCATAGCCTAAGTTCCAGTGTCTGTCACTGTCAGAGATGTGTGTTTTCATGTGTTCATCTGAAAAGTTTTCGGTTAATTTACGGGTTTTAACGTTTTGGTTGGAGAAAGCATTGGATTTTTGTTGTGTATCTGTTATGATGGTTTGTAGTTCTGTGTCATCCGTTATGTATAGTGGTGGTATGTTTTGATGATTTCTGTAGCCTTTTAAATGTTTCCATATGTTACGGCAACATATCAGTGGCTATTTGCAACCTAAACATATGATTCCAAACTTCATTATGATGTTAGTTGTTTCACCAGAGCACTTTCGTTGATGTATTCCAGTTTATATCCAGATTGTTCCTTCTTCTCTGTTGATGCCTGTTTGTATATTTCCCGGAAGTTTGTTCATAGCTTTCACATGTTCCTTGGGTATGTGGGTTGCCTTGGCGTTTGTGATTATTTAGTTAATTTTGTTTGCTTTGTTGTTTTTGATTGTGATATTTCTGTTTAATCCTGCTTTGTATAGCCTTGCCAGTTCGCATCTTTGTAGTCATGGGCGTCGTTACGAGGTTTCTCAGGGGGGGCAGTAATAGTATTATAATAAGACCATTTCTATTAGCGCCACGCCCCTTTTTGAGCATTTTAACGTACTTATTTGATATCGATATTTAGTTAAAAATGATGGTATTTTTTTCCGCAACAAAATTCACTCTCCGCATCATTTGTTTATGTAATTTTAAGTCAAATCCGTTGAATGTAATGAAAATGTCAGCCAATTTTTCACAGCACAGCGTATTCATTGAAGGTCGTTACTCAAATTGGTAATCACTAATCTTTCATCAAAATATGTTTTATTAAAAATACCTACAGATACAATTCCACAAATCAGGTACAAATTACAAGTTTTACAAAAATAGGTTTTACGAAAAACCAAATTTTTCCCAATGGGACAGTCTAACAAAAATAAAACTACAAAATTCTAGAACTGCATAGGTAGGAACAAAGGAAGTAACTTCTGAGTCTAAAAAAAAATATTTTAGCGATACGAATACGAACTCTCTTTTACTGCTTTCTTGTTCAAAAGACTATTCCTAGGGGGGGGGGGGGGGGGGGGCAAATGCCCCCCCCCCAAACGACGCCCATGTTTGCAGTTATTGTATGGTTTAGGTAGCATAGTTTCCAGGCGCTTATGGATTTTAAATAGTACTGGATGATGATCTGAGGTTCGTTCCAGTAGTGTCTCTGTTGTAGCTTTCAAGTTCCTTGTTAGTCCTATATGTATATCTCTATTATTGAGTCTGCATGTGGTCTTGTATGTTGTTTTGTTAATTTTGTTTTATTTGGATAGTGGAGAGAACTCGCTTCTCTCTGGTCGGGGTGCTGATTGTTTATAGGGTTTTTTGCTGTTGCCCATGGCTTGTCTGTAGGATTTGCCCTGTTGGTATTTGTTGGATTCAAACTTCTTTGGTTGGGTGCTGGCTACATGTTCTTGGAGGATTTTGGATAATTGGCTGCATGTTCTTCATTGCAGTAAGCGTATTTCATCGGAATTTCTTCCTCATTTTCTTCTCTTCTTCTGCCGAGTGAGAACCTGCACATTTCAGGCATTTAATCGCCTGTCTGCAGTTTCCCGACCCATGGCCAAAGCCTTGGCAACGATGACACTGGGTTATAGTACCTACTTCTTATGTGGAATGTTTCCCATTCAATAACTGAGTGTTCAATTTTTGTAGTATTTTCCACTTGATCAATGTTGGTTTCCTTATCGGCAGTTAGATAAGGGTGCCCTTCTCCTTGCTTGGCTTTTATTTTAATTCAGTCCGTTATTTTATGGTCTTGATTCAGTATTTGTTAAATTTCTTCCGTATCCATGTCTGGGGGGCCTTTGACAACTACCCTCTTTTGCCTGGTACTTCTTGGTGCATATGTGTAGTAGGTAACATTATCCTCGTCAAGGCTTGCAGTAGTAGTTTTTTTAAATTGGTTGTGGTTCACTTTCGCCGTGACCATTATGGACGGGGGCCGGGTTGGCGTGTTCTGGGTTGCCGCTACTGGTTCATCTGTGGGGTTAATGGCAGTACTCCGAACCTATTGTTCGTCGAGATGTTTGCTTGCATGCTGAGGCCTAGTTGCTGGCTTAAGCTGTCGTCCATGGTTGTTTCTTCCCGATGAACTGGAGGTGGCTCTTTGCTATATCTTGTTTAGTAAACACCTGTACATCCTCTACCTCTAGGGTTTTTTTGGTTGGTTTTCTTGGGACTGGTTGCTCAGGGTTGATTCTCACTATACTATAAAATCACTACCACTAAATAACACTGCTTTTGATTTGATTCGTATTTCACCTCTGGTCAAGGTTATCATTGGTTGGTACTGGTCAATTCAGTTTCGAGAGTTCTCTACTTGGTTTCCCGTTCAAGAGCTCGAAACAGAATAAAACCAGAACCGGAGTATTTTTACCGAATTAATAATTTTCGAATTATTACCGCAGTTTTAAGTCGAGTATGGATGCCCTCTTGTGGCGTATCCGAATACGATCTTTGAGTAAAAATCTCCCAGAGGATCCCTAACGGATTGTACGATGCCAAACCATGCACCAAGTTGGCTCTAGAAGTACCGCTACCATAAAATTTGAGAGTCAGATTATGGCGAACCAGTACCCAGTTTTCATTAGCTTTTGAAATTTTCAAGATAATAACCTTCAAAATTGAATATGTTCATTCAAAAATTCAATAAATCTTGTAAAATATACTCCTAAATTTTGGACAATTTTTATTTTTATATTGATTTGATCTACAGTTAGCAAGGTTTTCGAAAAATATTCTTGTCAACTATAGTATTTTTTTAGAAGGGTTTGCATAGAAAATATAATCTACCACTTATTTCTTACTTAAAACAATGTAGAAAAGACTATGTTAATGTTTAACTAATACCTACCTATTACTGTTTTGATCCCAATTATTATTTTTTGCCGCTTATGATTTTCATATGATATGTATTTTCTACATTTTTAGAAATAATATTAAGATTAGCATCTTCTAGTATTGAAAGTGTGCTTTAGCAAATTTTCGAATCCGCATGTCTCGCCTAATTAACAAAATAGTAATTGGCTGTAAATGCGGGCGTTTAAAGAAAAATTACCGACTATTCAGTGTTCACGCTCTGCTAACCCAACCATTTCATTTTTTTTCAGTTTTGGGAAGTAATTTCCGAAGAACACGGTATAGACCCCAGCGGTGTTTACATGGGTGACAGCGATTTGCAATTGGAAAGGATTAGCGTCTACTACAATGAAGCCAGCGGTAAGAAATTTTAATTGGTTAATTTTTTTTTTTGCTCCAATAAATTCCCTTTTAATTAATTTGTACCCATAATTGTTCGTGTTTTTATTTGGTTTATGAGCTGGATGGTTTTTATCAATCAAATATAGTATAATTTTTCTCATAAATTAACAAAAAAGTATTGTTCTGATAAGGATATAGCAGATATATCTGATTACATTTTTAATTAAATATGCTACCATCTGGAAAGGCATCGCCACATCAGATTAGATTTAATTTCACGTACCTAGGATAACAAAAACATGGCGGTTCATGTTCATGAAATGGCTGGAAAGTTCTGTAATTATTATACGATCAGTGATGACTTTATTACTTATAAGGGAGGCGGAGGAAAAAATAAATCGTTTACAAAAAATAGTACGAAACTTTCCAAAATCTTGTATGTAAAGGTATATTGTGTTAATGTGGAGCTAATTTTCAATTTTCGTTCTTTAATTAGAATATTCTGACAGTGTTACATATACCCAACATTACATTAGCCAGAAAATCAGAAACTTCATGCATATGGTATATGCTTTTGGTTAGTTTGATTCAAAATTTTCAAATTTTAAAGTAGAGCTCTGTGATTATATGTTCAAAAACTGGTTGCGAAATCTTATTGAATCAGGTTTATGTTGTCTTCCATATGGAGATTGTAGAAAAACGGCAGGAGCCACAAGTTTACCCGCATGGAATACAAAATTAATTTAAAATGTATTATAAGTGTCCAAATTAAATCTACCGGATACCGACTCCGAAACGGTGAATCATTTTCATTTAAAATTTTAATATAATTTTACAGTCGTCTTTTCTTTATTACAATAATTAATAAATGCAAGAAGGAATAACGATATGACGTAGGTACTTATACTTGGCCGGTCAAGTTTGTTTAAAAGGTCCTTTCTGGTATTAAAGTGGCTATATTAGGTTATATTAGAACTGTTTCACTCAAAGTTGTATGAGTATTGAAAAAGACACATAGATATTTTAATTCGCCAGTATTTCGTAAGAAAAAATCGCAATCATTTTTTTTGTTGATTGCAATCCATTATTAATGAACACTTTGCCTTTCCTTCATAGCAGGGCTAGAAGTTCTGGTAGGGGTTTTTCGACAACGAACTTAGAAATCATGTTCTATAGGGTTTATGTCAGGGGGTCTAGCAGGCTAGTCCACATCCCTTCAACTTCAAATCAAAACATCAACAGCTTCGGGTATAAAAGGAGGGGTATTAGATATCGTCCATAAAAAACGAGCTTTTCTCGATGGTTCAATAATCTGCTGTCCCAAATTACATCACATTACAACTGATCGACTTACAACTCACTGTCATCAAGTCATTGTCTAGACAATTCTCATTGTTGACTAGGTATATCTGTTATTTTAACATCTTACGTCCTTATCATCCTGAAACTTAAGAATTGGGGGATCATCTCTGGGTACCCCCTAGGTGGTACTACTAGTGAAACATAATATCTAGTTTTTATCGAGATATTTAAACCCTAATAATATAATGACGTTGCATTCAACACCTTACTCAGTACTATTTTTTTTTCTTTTCAATTTCATTTTTTGCTAGATTAGACAATTAGTATATTGACGCCGCATCGATGGTATCCATCCACGGTAGACGTTCATTTCTATTAGGAATTTTAAATTCACTGTAAATACTAGGTGATTTAAACCCATCAGGGGGTATTTTATCTTTCCTCGTTGGTAGATTAATAAAATAAACGATTAACTGGGATCACGCCCTAAAAACACAATAGGGTCGTTACCTCCTATTATTAAAATTATACTGACCATTATTTTTCGATATAGTGAGGCCTAAAGCTTGGCCATGTCATATTGGTTTTATTGAAAATTGTTTCCTGGACTATTTAAATTAATTTAAAATTTAAACATTTTTTGTCCTTGTCGAATTGTTGGTCTCTTTCTCCCATGACGTCACTAGGCGGGTATGCGCAAAGCAGTTGTAAACAAATCCATCAACATATGCAATTTTGTGAGGTTATGTTGTTTTGTTATTATTTTGGAATGTCGTTGACCGTTGTAATATTTTCATTATTTTTTGAGTTTTTCAACGGTTTTTCCGTGAATAACGTGTTATAAATTCAAGGTAAGTCATTGTTTCTCATTATTTGATGTTATTAAGGTCTCAAATAGAGCATGCATTTCAGTTTCAGTGTACCCACCTAAGTCCTACCTACTCTTCACTATTTGGCTATGGATTTTCGTAAATGTTTTGTGCCTTCTTGTAAAAACAGTAATCTAAATTCGAAGAAAATCTTTATAGGTGTCCCCAAAAATGAACAAAAAGAAGAAGTTGGTGTTTAGCTGTGGAAAGAGTTAATGTCACAGATCACCTAATACAGATGCGTGAGTACGTATACTTGCTGTCGAGGATATTCTGTGACGAAGCCGGGCCGCCAGCGGCCCCACGCATAGATAAAGATCGCCCGCGTCAGGACAATTAACGTGGCCGAGTGCGTGAGCATGTTCCAGCCTGTGTGTTTACATATTTTTGCGGGTAGAAAAAAATATTTTTTTGCTGTTTGTGAACCAATTAAAGAAATAATATTATATTATTGAGCTTCCGCATTTATATAATAAATATGTTCAAAATACATTGATGTGGCATTGGTGCGGCCAGCCTATGTCTATCAAATTAATCTTGAACCACGAATTCGCCGCTCTTTCGCATCTGTATGTAAGTAATCTGCGTTAATGTATTGTCTAGTATTTCTGGTGGAATTTATTGCTGCGAAGATCATTTCAATGTAAGTAAACTTAGTTGCCAAATTCCATTTTATAAACACCTATTTTCTGTTTTACATAATTTCAAAAATATGAACATTATATTATGTTTATAGATGGAACAAGATTGTGATAACTAGATGCAGTTTAGGATGAAAAACTGCAAATTACTTATGAAGAAAAAAGTGGTTCCACATATTAATTTAGGCAGAATCTGAGTTTGTGAAGAAGCTGTATAAAAGAATTGCCAGCTTACGAATCCATATTGAAAGAGTGATACAAAGATTGCGAGAATTTACAATACTCGAAGGACATTCCTGCATTGACCATCAGCTTGTGGCAAAAACTGATTAAGTATTTAATAATTATTGCTTGTGGAATAATGAATTTGCAGGGACCATTAATCAAATAAATTTTATGTCGAAGCTAGAAAAAAATGCTGTTTTGAATACTTATATTGTATAATAAAAATACCTATTACTTTTTTTACTGCCAAAATAGTACATTATACACCTAGAGACTAAAGTGGTACTTTTGATCTCGAAGTGAGGGCCATAATTTGTTGAGGGATTAAAAAACACTTTAGTCCTGAGGTGTATACCTACACTATCATATGCACTTTAGGCAGTGGCGGTTCCTCCATAAGAGCACATGTGCACGTGCACTCCCAAATTAATATCAAACAACTTTAAATTTAATTTTATCATTCTTCAAATTTTAACAATCTACCTGTAAAGTATTAATTTAAAAAATTAGTGGCCAAATGCGCCAGCAAAACAAACGCAACCGGCATTTATTATGAATTACAAATTATGTGCACCCCCAATATGTTATACCACGAGCCGCCACTGAGTCTTTAGGGATTAAAAATTAAAAGGGTACTTTTGATCCCTCTAAAGTTCATAAAATAGTGTATACATCTCAGGACTAAAGTGTTTTTTATTCCCTCAACTTTGGAGTACCCTTTTATTCCCTGTTCCATTTACTCCACGGGAAATGAAGTAAAAAGTTAATCCCTTGGGAAATAAAGTGAAATTTAATCCTGGGGATTAAAAGGGTACTTTTAATGCATAAATAATGTAAGGAAGAAAACTACCAGACTCCCAAATCAATTATATATTTTTATTCAAAATGACTGAAAATACATTTTTCTTCTAAAATTCTTCAGTTGATTCAATAATTACTTTAATAAACCTAATGTTCAAGTCTAATTCAAAAATTGTCACTTCATTATCCTCTCCAAATTTGGGACTTGCCACACAAAACAGTCCTTTTTGTCTGTTACACAATAATAGCGTATTTCATTGGTAGAGCAAGTGCAACACTAGTTTTGCACTGACTCTTTAAAAAAACTGCTCGTGCGCAGTCCCAATGAAACATTATCGTACTGCACCATCCCATATACGTCAAACCTCAAATATAGAATTTCATTAAAAAAATTATACTTGTGCTTATTATAAATAATTATTTAATTTAATTAAAAAAAAAGTTCTTGCCTCTCTGCTAGAAGCCCTAAATATTCTTCATATTCACTGGTTTCACTGTTGCTGCTACTTTCCATCAAGACAATTGCCTTCAAGAAGCGATTTTTGACATTTTTAGTAGTAGATTCGCAGACAAATAAATATAAAAAACACAATAAAAAAATACTATTTAGGACTGTTTTTTCATCAAAAATCATCAACCACCAATAACCTCAATTTCAAAAATAACAATAAACAACTGCACTGAGTGCGACACGAGCTTTTTAGCCGGTGGCGCACTAGCAGCACTCGGTGCAAAACTTGGTGCATTGCTCTCCCAATGAAATACAAAAGTGCAGCGCGACTCTGCCAATGGATCACGAATATTGCACCAGTGTTACACATGCTCTACCAATGAAATACGCTATAACATTTGTAACTGAAGTTGGCACATGTATTTCGTCATTATATTTCCATTTTCCTTAATGTAGTTTTTCACAGTCTCCTTCTTGCTAGGACATTAAACTTCAATCACAAATTCTTTTCTTATTCCATCTGGCGATGCTCCTAACAGAGGATATTCTGCTGTCTCTTTTCAACTTCACATTATTGCACATTGTCACCATAACTGGGCTCTCGCTGACCTAAAAATATATGATATGAAACTATAAAACTGTTACCCTGCTACTAAAAATGTAATATAATAATGGGCCAAAGCTGAACCAATACAATAATTATGCCAATATTTCACTACCCACCTTTAGGTTTTGACTCCTCTTATTTCTGTACTTAAATAATCCGTATTTTTGGCAAAAAACTCTTGCAACATCACATAATTTAGTTCAGGTAAATTTTCGCTGGAGGCTTTAATAAATCCACTATCCATCTTCTCACATAAACCGACCAAATAAACGGGTGAAATAAGTATTTATTTTTTATTTTATAAATCAACCATTCTAGACAGGCGAATCAAAATAAACAAAATAACTGACATAACCTCTAAAAGAAGACAGGAGATGGGCCAGTGGCAGGGCAGCCAACTAGACAACTAGGAAATTTTGTCAGTGATGCAAACTTAAAGGACCCTGCCCAAAGTATACGGAAATTGTGTTTATGTCAGAATTGGCTGAATTTTGTCTATAATGTAGATCACGCCTTTCTGATTAAAAGTTACCATTGCACCAATCCTCAAAAATGACTAATTTTTGAGAAAATTAATTTCATAGATAGCAAGTAAAACGCTTGGACATTGTGATAGAGGTTCAATCTATCACGAACAGGTGAGCTTGTGGCGCAGTGGTGTGCTACGTGGAGTAATTTTTCAGGATCGATGCAATGGTAACTTTTAATCAGAAAGGCGTGATCTACATTATATACAAAACTCAGCCCATTTTGACATAAACACAATTTTCGTATACTTTGGGCAGGGTCCTTTAGAAATACAGTGCTCAAGCTCGCCTTGTGACGTCATTACAATTTAAAAAATAACGAATAATAGTAAAATTTCAAATTGAAATATCTCCTTTAATATTATTCTAAAAAATGCGGGAAAAAAACCAAGAATAGATTTTGATGTGCCTAATTCAATGAAAAAATATAAAAAAATCATGAAACGGCCCTATTAAAAATACGTAAACTCATAATATATTTTTAGAGTGGTTCCACGTAATTTTATGAGTTGACCACATAAGAAAATATACGATCCCCAGACAACACATTATAGGTTTACTATTTTTAAGCCATAAAACCAACAAAACTGAACCACAAAAAGCGATAAGTACTTTTTAGTCTATAAGTGAGTCATTTATTAAAATGGAACTTCTGTCAACCGATAAACACATGTTGGTCTTTTCAAAAGATGTAATACTTAATAGAGCTGAGTTTGATATAGTACTTCAAACATTTGAAAATTACGTCTGACTCATCATCTTCGGAATGCATATCCATTTCCAATTTCTATCACTTTATACTTTCCTGTTTTGTCTGAACAAAAAAAAATGTTTGCCCAGTATTAAAGTAGAAACCATTACAGACAGACCTTGTTGTATATTCCCTGAACCGTATTATTGTGCACGCTCATTTGGTGCCATTGTGTCATTAAATGTACGTTGCTCTTTCATTTGACATCCAATTCGGTTTTGTTCTAATGCTTTCTTGGTATTCAGTTGTTTAGATCAAAGATTTATTAGCTGTTTATTATTAGTTGAACTGGAACGGATTCCGATTATTCAGCTTTATTAGGTTTGAGTTAATTAGTTTTTTTTTTTAACATTTATTTTATCGTTGAGATTTTTAAATAGATTTGAGATTAGGAAATGTTTATAATGTTCCACGTCTCAATCTAGAATTATTACCTACAGTCAAAATGTTTCTGCAGACAGTAAATTATCATCCATTCAAAAAAGCTACTTAAGACTTAAGGAGTAACGACAGCAAAAGAGATACCATACAAAAATAGACGGCTCAAATTTAGAACACACGGTAGTTTAGACCAGTGAACTTACTCGAAAATAAAGCAGATGCCTTCCTGCTTTCAAATTTCGAATGTAAAGTGACACCGGACTGAAGATTTTTGTAGGCATAAACTTAAATATAAACACAGTGTTTTATTTAACATTGTAATTTAAGGATTTTCTCGGTGAAGGCGATTGTGATTAAACTTGGTGAATATATTTACTTATAAAAGGTAGATACATACCACTAGTGCCTTAATTATTTTTCTATTTTTTTCCCTTTGAAAATGAAGACAGGAAATAGCAAATTTCACTTTTTTTCAGATATTTCAGACAGTAATACAATGATATGACATTCATTAGATTAGGTACATTACTTATATTGCTAGGTACATTTTATTAGTACATAAACGCAGGAATAATGAAAAAGCTCCATTGTGATTTATCTAATTTTCTATATCTTTTGCCGTAATTTCATAATTTTGAACATTTTCTGCCCAAGTAGATAGCACAAGCATAACTTAAATTTCTAGAAATAAATTAAATTTAAATATTTTGGGTAGGCCGTAGAGTCGTGGTGAAACCGCTTCTGTTTTTATGATGCCTCTCTTAGCTTTCGGGAGGTAGATAGATCAAGGAGTTCCTGAATTTTCCGATTGTAGTCTTCAGTTCTCAACAGGACAGTTGCGTTGCTCTCATCCGCAGATAGGATGATCATATCTTCCGCTGAATTCAGGTTCTTAATTCCCATTAGTTCCTTCTTAGAGAGGTGGTCGAGCTTTTCGTAGAATGTTAGCCGTCTCAATACGGATTTCTTCTGCTTCCACATCAGGAAATGCTTTGATGGCTGCTGCAGTGCGAGCTATAATCTCCTCCGTTGGCAGATGTTTTGGGGTGATTTCGAAATTACTGCCTTTTGCCAAGACGGTTGTTTTCTCTTCAGTAAGGACTCGATCCGTGAGATTGATGACCAGTCTGGATTTGTCAGGCGCTAGGGAATTTCGGATTTGTTTCTTACAGAACTTTTCGTATTCTCGAATCTGGGCTTTTTTACTCCGATTTAGCTCATTATCATCATACAATTTTCATTCATCACAATTTGATAATAATAAAATCAAACTTGTTGAAACAGTTCCCTGACTAGCTTCATATTGTTTCTATGTGAAAATACAATTTATTAATAACAACAATTTTTCAGTTGCTTCAAGTACAAGTGGTGGAAAATATGTTCCAAGAGCCATACTCCTCGATCTGGAACCTGGTACCATGGACGCTGTCCGATCAGGAAAATACGGTAAACTATTTAGACCGGATAATTTTGTGTTTGGACAATCAGGTGCCGGTAATAATTGGGCCAAAGGACACTATACAGAAGGAGCTGAACTCGTAGATGCAGTACTAGATGTAGTTAGGAAAGAAGCTGAAAACTGTGATTGCTTACAAGGTAAAGTAACTTATCAATGCGCATAGTATCAAAATAACTAAATATAAACTTTTTATAGGTTTCCAACTTACACACTCACTGGGAGGTGGTACCGGATCCGGTATGGGAACGTTATTGATCTCTAAAATCCGTGAAGAATATCCAGATAGAATCATGAATACATATTCAGTAATGCCTAGTCCAAAAGTCTCCGACACAGTGGTAGAACCATACAATGCCACACTGTCAGTACATCAACTTGTAGAAAATACTGATGAAACTTATTGTATCGACAACGAAGCTCTCTACGACATTTGCTTTAGGACTTTGAAAGTACCCAATCCAAGTTATACGGATTTGAATCATCTAGTTTCTTTGACAATGTCCGGAGTTACCACATGTCTTAGGTTCGTATGTAAAATAATATTCATGAAACAAATTTACAAATTCAGTCAGGGATCCCATAAATCGGAAATGATTTTTATTAGCTTGGTTTTAACTATTACTATTAAAAAACATTCCTTTGTCCTCTTCTATCTTTGACTGACAGGAAATATCACGCTTTTAATATACAAAGCTTGTAGGAAAACCGATAAAACTTATTGTATAAAGACATTTTTTTTTATTACTCCAACACGATTGTCAGAATAAATCCTCAATTAAAATTTAAATATGTTCAGGTTCCCTGGTCAACTAAATGCTGATCTGCGTAAACTAGCCGTTAACATGGTACCATTCCCGCGTTTGCATTTCTTCATGCCAGGATTTGCACCTTTAACATCCAGAGGAAATCAACAGTACAGAGCTCTGACAGTGCCAGAACTTACTCAGCAAATGTTTGATGCTAAGAATATGATGGCTGCCTGTGATCCTAGACATGGAAGGTATCTTACCGTAGCTGCAGTGTTCAGAGGTAGGTAAATAAGTTGTGAAGAATAAGCGCGCACACAATATTTTGGGAAATAGAAGTTATTTGAAACTGTCTTCTCTCTTTGCTTTTATAGGTAGAATGTCAATGAAAGAAGTAGACGAACAAATGCTGGCGGTACAAAACAAAAATAGTAGCTACTTTGTCGAATGGATTCCGAACAACGTAAAAACTGCCGTATGTGACATTCCACCCGTTGGTCTTAAGATGTCCTCAACATTTATAGGTATACATAAATTTTTCCAGCTAAAAATACACTTAATCTTACATGGACAGCTGTTAAATTAAATTAATCACCTATTTCCTCAACTTAAATTACAGCTGTTTTTTATTTTTTCTAGGAAACACTACAGCCATCCAAGAACTCTTCAAACGTATCTCAGAACAGTTTGCCGCTATGTTCAGAAGAAAAGCTTTCCTACATTGGTACACTGGCGAGGGTATGGACGAAATGGAATTCACAGAAGCTGAATCCAATATGAATGATCTGGTCTCGGAGTATCAACAATACCAAGAAGCCACTGCAGAAGACGATTATGAAGCTGAAGAGGAACCTGCTGGCGATGACTTTAACTGCCAATAGATTTGTTCACATACTATTCAAATGAAATTTAACTTATTTTTTGTTAGTTTTAAATTATTATTATCTGATGTTTTATCATGGGGACCAGAGGAGCCTAATATTACCATTGCCTGCTATATCCAAAAAATAAATTAAGTGCCTTTTAGGTGTATCTTTTATAATATATTATAAGGCCTTTTTCATAAAAAATCATTCATTTTTCCTTTTACTTTGGCCCAAAGAATAATTAGTTTTTAATATCTTCACTGAAATTGATGAAGTGTGCGATTAAAATTACTCTTTAGATAGTAAGTAGGTACTTATAATCGCATTCTATATTATAATATACCTTTTGGTAGGCACCTTTAGAGTGTTAGAAGCTAGTCTGAAATTTTCTTCAATATTACTTATAATGTTTATTGCTAATTTTGTCTATTTATTTAAGTGTTTTTATAATTTTATAATTTTCACACTGTTTTGGGCGGAATATTTTCAAAATGTACGTTTTCATAAATCTCATTCGTTTTGTATTTCTGATGTAGTTTTTAAAAATAAAGACTGAGTTTTGCAGTAAAAATTATATTTCTTTCACATGCAAATATAAATAAATCTACTAATTTTTGCCGTGTACTTATTGTGTAAACCATTTGAAAAGAATAAACCGAACTCATGACAAATTAATTTCTAGAAAAATCCAAGTCACAAGTTTTCCACCTACCTACTCACCAATTCATATATTGTGCAAAATCAACATGTGTTGAGAGTTTCTCCCAGAAAATTATTCAAATTTGAATTTTCATCAATTATACACTCATGAATGACGACAATAATTTTTGCTATTGATACTGGATATGATGGAACATGAAACCTTACCTTCATTTTACATTTAATTTTTATTAATGGATTTAAATGGATGATTGATGATGAACGATCTTCCGTTTGGGGAAGTCAACCGATACAATCTTTGCATTAACGAAACCCAACCACCAACCACAGTCTAAGGGCCAGGGCCGGTTTATTCACCTTCTGATAAACTGTCAGGTATGCAATCTGACGGATAAAAAGGCAATCTGTGAGCCCATTGGCTGGCTAGTTATCCGCTGATCAATAGAATTATAGAACGCTAGATAGTTACCAGCAAATTTATCTGAAGATGCTTATACTTAACCATTGAGCCAAAACCTCCTATTTCCATTGTGTTATGTTCGAGAAATACAATATAAAGACAATGTTATGGAACCAGAACCAATATTCCTTAATCATTCCCTCAACCAAATTAAAAATGATGAGGTTGATAATCAGCCCAAGTGAAAATTTAAAATTATTCCTAGCTAATTGAATTGAACTCGTTTGGAGCTGTTTTGCGTATAGTTTGTCAAAAATATCGCATCTGAAAATGTGAATTGCTCAGTGGCAGTCTGAATTGATCCTGCATGTCTACTTTATCTATTATCTTAAATTCCATCTCATGAAATCAAATTTTTGATATTCAAGTTTGGGTCTAGTTGATCAGTTGATGGGACGCTATTTTCATTATTTCAATCCGTAAATGCAATGTTTGTTTACAGTGAAAGCTAGACTCTTCCATAAATTTCCTATATCATGTCGATTCATTCATTAATCATCTTAAAATTCTATTAGTTGGGTTCCAAATTATTATTCAATTCACCTACTTAGAACTTTTCGAATTTATAGATACGTTTTCTTTTATCGGTGCTTGGTTTGCTTGTATTTTCATAAGGTTTTTCGTGAATTTTTCTACATAATTTTTCACAGGTTTTTCTAATTTTTCAGGGTTCGTATTACTTTTTCCATTTTTGTTTTAAGTACCTACTGTGTAAGTATGTATAGCCTTTTGGTGTAAACGAACTTCTGATTTCTGGACCCTGATCTCTTTCTAGTTCTACGCTTGGTTCTATGGCTATGACTGAGAGGACATCTTATTGCTATTTGCACGGCTTTAACTCAGGGGATGCTTGCGCTTAGGGGCGCTTTGAATGTGACTTTATTAGATTGAATATCCCTTAAATTGTAGTTGTGCAAATAGCCGTTACTGAGCTACTTTAGTTTAGATTCTCGTAAGATTTTGATCAGATGCCTTCTAACTGGACAAATTATGAGCACGCATTAGACTCCTCAGAAAATGAAACTTTCGAGGAAACTTTTGATGCAAATGTTGGATGTCAATTTACAATTATATAAATCCAGTACCTATCAATTAATAAACCAAAATATTCCCATAAACAATTCAATAGAACATTCCTAGTGGATACGTCTATTTTGATTGATGGCAATTATAACGTACCTACTCTAAATTTTGTAGATCAAACTTTTATTTATTCATAGAGGCATCACCACAGTTTGCATCACTATGCTGCTCATGACTGATGAGCAAAACGGCAGAAAATAAGTTTAATTTTATAAATATAGACAAGTTTGACCATTTGATAGTTCAGAAAGTTTTAGAATTCTCTATGACTCACTGCAGCATACTGAATGTTTATGTTATTTATATTTACCGCTCCCCTATGTCTTGTCTGAGAGAGTTTTTGAATGTTTTTGAGGTGCTATTGAGGAGTAACCCCTCCCCCTCTTGTCATGATTGTTCTGACTGACTGGGAATCTTAACATTGATGACAATGTTCCCAATACTCGAAATTGAATTCAAAACATTTTAATGAGTTTTTATCTAATTATGCATGTTGTGGAACCAGCCAGGATATCTGATACCAGCGCTTCGACGACTTTGGATTATGTTTTTTTATCTAATTTCAAGGATATTTCTTAAAAGTTGTATGGTTTTGAATCGCTTCACTTTCTGATCATGAGGACTATGAGAAGGTATTGTCTGTTTTCAATTTATCAACAGAAACATCTTCGTTGTCCTCTCGACGGGGTCATATATTTTGTGAACGTAACTTCATTAAGTTTCGCAATCTGTGAGAAAACTCTTTGGCTATCTCCTGAGTGGAGGAATTACCCACTACATTCTTTTCATAGAGCCTTGACCAAAACATTTTGTTATCTTTTTTAATAAAAGATGCTATTCTAGCTATGGAATAGCCAGAACAACTAAACTATCGGGTCTTCAAAAAAAAGCCAATCAAAGATTGCTATGGTTTTTGAACGTATGTCTTAGCAATATTTTTCTTTAATTTTGTCAATGAACTTTAATGTCAAAATGTCATGTCAAAAATCCTGACCAATAAAGAAACAATAATGCGACATACGTTTTCGTATTCAAAGCAATCTTTGATTGTTTTTTTTTTTGAAGACCCGATATATTCAAGCAAGATTAATAATAATCGATAATAATGACGTTCTGTGACAATGTCACTGCAGGCAACAACTTAACTGGCCTGGCAACGTGACCAGTGCCACAGATTAACCAGTGCTAATCAAACACCTGAACCAAGTCTATAAAGTAACGTGACACATTAAGCGTTTTCACGGAGTTTTGGTATCATGAAACCATTTGATACTGGGTTACTCTCTGGTCTGTCATTAACGTCAGTTCAAACCGATCGGTATCAGAAGGGTTATGAAATGTTCTGGTATCATTTCGCTGTCGTTGTTTGTTGATCTCATTGGTAATGTGAATACAGCTTGAAATAAGCACCAAATGTGAAGCCGGTCGCAGACACTACGTGTATTCGGCGAATATTCGGTATTCGGGTTTATTCGCGTAGCGTGTGGGAGGGTAACTTTGGCGAATATTCGTCCTTCGTCATTTTCCCGCCGATTGTCGGTAAACTGGCACGAAGCAAAGGAAGGCGAAGTGACGCGAAGTCCACTACGTGTGACTTCGCACTGCTCCCAGACGCTTCGGGGGTATATGCATAGTGTTTTGTCAGTTTATAGCGGTGTGCAGTGCCGCAAGGTTGATTTTTGCATTTCTAGTTATTTTTAATTAAAATAAGAAATGGAGTGGACCAATGAATTAACGTTAGAATTTTTACAATTATTTGAAAATAAACCTGTCATTTGGAACCCAAAGATACCAGAGGTGTTTTCTGGCGTCTCAAAGTTTTGAAACATTTTTTAAAACTGGTTTAAAACAGTTTCACAATGACGTCATAACTTCTTTTGCGCGAGAAAATGATTTGAAAACGTAGATTGGATTATATTTCGAAGCGGTTTGAACCAATTTTGTGTGAAATCATAGGTTCATCGCGAGATATACTATTTCAAACCTGTTTTGAACCAGTTTTAAATAAGTGAACGCGAGAAAACAGCTCAGGGCCGGTATTCTGGTTCTCAAAAACGCGCGCTACCGCTTTCTAGTCGCTCAGCACTTCAAATGCATATTTACAGTGAAAGTGCCGAGCGACTGAAAAACGGTGAGCGTTTTCGAGAACGAGAATACCGGCCCACATCTGCCGAAAATATTCGTGCGAATAACGAATATTCGCCTATTCGCCGAATACACGTAGTGTCTGGGACCGGCTTTAGAAAAGGAGATTTATTAACATTAGGGTGGTTGGCGAAACGAGAAACACTATCTTCATATGCAGATAGGTTCAATGTCGGAATATTTGCATGTGTCGGAAAAGCTTACTTTTGAGCATTATCGAATAAACTTACAGAAATAATAATAACACAAAACTAAACCGAATCGGAGAAATTCGGCATTCATTCATTCAATTAGGTTATCCAACGACCTGTCCAAATGGCGTCTGGTTGGCAAACAATAAACAAAAAACATATGTTTTTTTTGTTGGCAGGATTATCAATAGGGAAATCCAAACAAAATGGAGGCCAATGCCAAAAAATTGGCGCCATAAATTTAATTCAAACAACCATGACCTTTTTCATCAAAAAACTGTTTTTTCTACGAGCGTGCGGGAAATGGCTCTTCCCGCACGATTTACTGTGCTTGAGTTTGAAATAATCATTGTGACATGGAATTGTTTGTATTGTTGATACACCTATACCTGTACCTTTTACCTTTTTATAAATACCTTTTAATACATTTTTAATTCTACCTTCTAATAAACTCTTCGTAACATCAGCTTTAGTATGCTCGTAGAAAAAATATAGTTCCTAACTCTTGCGGGAAGAAATTTCCGGCACGAGGGTGCGAAGCGGAGTTTAATTTAAATAAAATGCGATTATGCAGAAGGTAGAATTCGAAATGTATTAAAAGGTATTTCAAAAAAGGTAAAGGTACAGGTATAGGTGTATCAACAATACAAACAATTCCATGTCACAATGATTATTTCAAACTCTTCCCGCACTGAGTGCGGGAAGAAATCTCTTCCCGCACCGGTGCGGGAAGAAAGTCTTCCCGCACAGAAAATCGTGCGGGAAGAGCCATTTCCCGCACGCTCGTAGAAAATAGTTATTTTCCTAACAAGTGCGCAAAGTGTTACTTTTCCGCACGCAAACACAGTTATACGAACGACGCGCAGCGGAGATCGGATACGTGTTTGCGTGCGGAAAAGACACTTTGCGCACGTGTTAGGAACAAAATTTTTCCTACGAGGTTCATATCAGGTAGGTAATAACAAAAATTTAAAAAAAAAAAACGATAATTTGTTTAATTATTTTTAATTAACTTAAAGGGAACCTATGCATTTATCAAAAAATTACATAACAAAA